CAGGCAGCTGCTCAAGTCTTCTGCCCTTTCTTGCAGGTAAGTACTATGTGTGTTTTCTTTGGTTGTTTTAGCTTGCATTAGGCAGAGTATGAGCTGCCAGATATGGGGTACATTGGCGTTGTTGGCAGGCTTATGCAATGTATGATCATATAATGTGACTAAATCCCCATACTTTTCATATATAGTGCTTAGTTATTTCTCGTCTTGTTTTGCCTATCATATCTTGTCTTGTTTTATTTTGTATACCCAGTCCATGTACAGTCCTGTCCTGTCCTGCCCATGTTATGTTCATGTTTCCCTCATGTCTTGTGTACATTTTCTGGGTTTAGCTTCCTATCCTTCTTTGGTTCTGGGTTCTATTAGTTCTGTCTTGTTTCCATGTTTGGTGCCTATCTCTAGTCTTGTCTTGTTTCTGTACTGGATACACTCCTGCTGCAGAGCCTCCCTATTCAGCTCTGGGAAATCTTCTTAATTCCTGCTCCAAGTTCCTGGGATACCCTGCACCAGACCCTGACCTATCCACTCCACATTGTGACTCCTACTCTGAACATCAGGCATATTGCATCGCGGTCCACGCTCCGCCGCTCGGACAGTATCTGGGTCCCGGGCATCGGACCGCCACCCTGACAGGAATAGACTAAAGCCGTGTGAAATAAAACTGCTGTTGTGCACTCTGTGTGGCGGGTGGAAAGGGTTAGTATTGTACAGGAGTATGCTGATATTGTGTGGGATGGCGTTGATGTTGTGTTGGATGATGCAGGTGTTGATTGGAATGGCGGTAATTTGAGGTGGAGCTGGTGGATGCTGTACAGGAATAGACAGGTTTTGAATGGAATGGTGTTAGATGGCATGATGCCGGTGGTGGATTAAGCTGTTGGCTGCTCTATAAAAATAGACTGGAGTTGGGTGGAATGGAATAGGTTTTGGGTGGAACGGGCAGGTGCTGGTTAGAGTTGGTGGGTGTTGTATAGGGATAGACTTGCATTGGGAAGAAGAGGTGACTGTTGAGTGGAATTTGAAGACGGTATAAACATTCAGTTTAACAGCTGTGTATTGTTCTTATATTATAGACCATGTCTTTCCTGTAAAAAGGTCCAGAGCAGGACCAGCAAAATGTCGGGACCGTGTCTTAACATGTCTAACAACACTGGCTTCATTCTGAGTGGAATTCCTGGCCTTGAAGACTTCAGCTTCTGGATTGGTTTTCCTGTGGTTTTAATGTACATTATGGCAGTGTTAGGTAACTGCAGCCTTATGTATACCATCAAGACAGAGCAGGACCTGCATGAGCCCATGTATATCTTCCTCTTCATGCTGTCTTCTGTTGACCTTCTTATAGCCACCACCACCATGCCAAGAATGTTGGGGATCTTCTGGTTTAACTCCAGAGAAATCCCATTAAACATGTGCCTACTCCAGATGTTTTTCATCCATTTTCTCTCAGCTCTAGAATCAGGTATCCTGGTGGCCATGGCCATAGACCGCTACTTGGCAATTTGCCACCCACTGAGATACTCCTCTATTTTAACAAATAAAACAATAGCAAAGACCACTCTGGGGACTGCTGTCCGGGGGGGTGCACTTTTGATCCCTTTTCCCTTAATTATTAAAAGACTACCTTTCTGCCACTCGAACATTCTAACACACTCGTTCTGCTTACACCAAGAGACCATGAAATTAGCAAGTGCGGATATAACCATAAACATCATCTATGGTTTGTTTGCCATTCTCTCTATAATGGGAATTGACTCATTGTTCATTTCCTTGTCATACCTGCTAATACTTAGAACAGTACTCAGTCTGAGTGATGAAGTAAGTTTGAAAGCATTCAGCACATGCACGGCCCATATCTGTGCTGTCCTATTATACTATATCCCACTGATCGGTCTGTCTGTGGAGCACAGATGGCCAACTCAAAAAACATCAAACCTACATATAGTGTTTGGTAATATCTACCTCCTCATTCCTCCTGTAATAAATCCCATCATTTATGGCATCAAAACAACGCAGATTCGCTGTAAACTCTATAGAATATTCTGTGAGAAAGTAAACTGGACCAAAACCACTGCTGGCCTCTAGTTTAATTCTAGTGACTTTTAGTTTGAATTCTCTTATATTTCAATTCACATTCTAGCAACTTTTTAAAAAAACAATTGTATTCTGTTTTAATATGTATGTGAAGCAGAAATTGTGTTAAAAAGCGTAAATTTGGGGGGGGCGGAGCCTGTGCTCAAGCTGAATGGACGCGTGAGGATGGAGCTCCCAGGCTAACGGCTAATTAAGCACAATACAAAGTGGCTAATCAGCACAAGTCATTCCAAACGGAAAGATTACACATAATGTCACAAAGGGGACATTTCTTGCAGCGAAGCCAGCAAGCCAAAAACCAACAGTGCAAATGACACAAGATGGCGACGGCAATCCCCACAACAGTCCCCACAACACACCATGCAAATACAAGGGGAACTGTTCCAGAAAATGTTAGACGACATGGCAACTAAAATCCAAGCTTCTGTACAGACGGCCATAGCTGACCTCAGACGGAACATCGTGGATATGGGAAACCGCACGGCACACATGGAAGGCAAAATGGTGGAATACGCTGAAGCACACAACAGCCTTGCAGAAAAGCTAGAGGACATGGAAGCACGGCTTGAAAAACAAGAAATAAAAAACATGGACCTTGAAGACAGGTCCTGGCGCCATAACCTATGGGTAAGGGTGATCCCCGAAGAAGTGCAGGCAACAGATCTCATGGCGTACCTCACGGGCCTGTTCCAAACCTTAGTCCCTGACAAACCAACAAATATGATGCTCATGGACAGGGCGCACAGGGTGGCAAAACCACAGCACTTACCCGCCTCCACTCCGTGGGATGTTCTAACTAAATTGCACTACTTTCATGTTAAAGAGGCCCCCCTGCGCTCCAAAAGTCCACACCATGACCTACCAGAGCAGTACAGGCCTATCCAGATCTTTGCAGATCTCTCAGCTGAAACGCTCCGACGTAGGAGAACTTTCAAGAAGATCACCTCTGAGCTAAGAAACAGAAAAATATATAACTGTGCAGTCATATATGCTTATGTTTTTGTATATATGTTCAATGCTTTTCTTTTCTTATGGTCACACATATATCCACACATGTCTCTCAGTATATGCACATCAAAAAGGGCAGTGTAAGAGCACCGCACATAAGGCAAAGCTGCCTCATGACAAAAAATGGCAATAGAAACTCAGGTCTCCACCAGGGAACTACCCCTCAGGACAGCAAATCCCTCAACTTGGTGCAGAAAATACACCGACAAGCACCACCCAAGCTAATACGGGTCAAGACAGCACACATCCCAATCACTCACATTTAGTCTAAAATTGTATTCCCATAACATCCAGAGCCTGAATATTCCATATAAATGCCACATCCTCGACAGAGACCTTAAAAAGGCTCAGGCCAATGTTGTATATCTACAAGAAACAAATTTTAGGACGGATGCCCACCTCCACCTGAATTCTCGCATCAACTGCATGCCACTACACCACGAAAATCTAGAGGGGTTTCCATACTCCTCAGTAAAGAACTTACATTGACCTCACACAACCAAATAATAGACCCAGGGGGAAGGTACATCATCTGGCAATGCACCATCAATGACTTGGACTACACTCTAGTGAATGTATATTCCCCGAACACTAACCAGAGGAACTTCCTACATGGGGTTCTCACCAAAACTGAAACAGTGAGGAAGGGCACCCTCATAGTATGCAGGGACATTAACCATTTCTTAGACCCAGTAGTAGACTCAACCAGGCCCACTTCATCACCACAATATAGAACCCTTAAAAAAAACAGCAAAGCCCTCAGGACTCTGGTATCCTCGATCGGACTACAAGATGTATGGAGAGCCCTCCACCCATCAGACAGAGTTTACACACACCACTCAAAAGTACACAACACATACTCCAGAATCGACGGATGTTTCATGCACAAATCCACTATGACCAAAATACTAGACTGTGACATCTCGCCCATTGTCTGTTCGGACCATGCACCTGTGACACTAATACTTGCAAACTCATATGAGTATAAACACAGAAGCCCATGGCGCCTAAATGAGAGCCTGCTTACAGATGCACAATTCTGCGCATCTCTAGAAATAGAACTGCAACCAGGGCCGGCGCGTCCATAAGGCGGCACAGGCGGCCGCCTTAGGGCGCACGGGCTCTGGGGGCGCAATATTTCAGTGACCGGCAGGAGGGAAGCTCTCCCTCCTGCCAGGCCACCATCTCGACCCCCGGCGCGGCAGTGCTGTGATCAGGCGCGGCGAGGGAGCTCTAATCTCCACCCTCTGCTCCCTCGCGCGCTGCCTACTGATGCCGCGGGAGCCGGAATATGACGTTAGAGCTCCCTCGCCGCGCCTGATCACAGCACTGCCGCATGCCTCAGCAGCCCCAGCCCCCCCAGCCCTCAGGGACCGATCCATTATCCACACCAGCTCTCCAGGTAGGGAGGCTGGTTGGAAAATGTGTATTTATAAAATAATTAGTGAATGTATGTGATGTGTGTCTGTGAGTGACTGAGTGTGTGTGTGTGTGTGTCTGTGAGTGATTGTATGAGTGTGTGTGCATGTGTGTGTCTGAGTGACTTAGCGTGTGTTTCTTTGAGTGACTGTGTGCATCTGTATGTGTGTCTGTGAGTGACAGTGTGTGTGTCTGTGAGTGACTGTGTGTGTCTGTGAGTGACTGAGTGTGTGTGTGATTGTATGAGTGTGTGTGCATGTGTGTGTCTGAGTGACTGAGCGTGTGTCTGTGAGTGACAGTGTGTGTGTGTGTGAGTGATTGTATGAGTGTGTGTGCATGTGTGTGTCTAAGTGACTGAGCGTGTGTCTGTGAGTGACAGCATGTGTGTGTGTGTGTGAGTGAGTGTGTGTGCATGTGTGTGTCTGAGTGACTGAGTGTGTGTCTGTGTGTGAGTGACAGTGTGTGTCCATGAGTGACTGTGTGTGTCTGTGTGTGTGTCTGTGAGTGACAGCGTGTGTGTCTGTGAATGGCAGTGTGCGTGTCTGTGAGTGACTGAGTGTGTGTGTGATTGTATGAGTGTGTGTGCATGTGTGTGTCTGAGTGACTGAGCGTGTGTCTGTGAGTGACAGTGTGTGTGTGTGTGAGTGATTGTATGAGTGTGTGTGTCTAAGTGACTGAGCGTGTGTCTGTGAGTGACTGTGTGTGTCTGTGAGTGACAGCATGTGTGTCTGAGTGACTGAGTGTGTGTGTGTGAGTGAGTGATTGTATGTATGAGTGTGTGTGTCTGAGTGACTGAGCGTGTGTCTGTGAGTGACAGTGTGTGTGTGTCTGTGAGTGACTGTGTGCTTCTGTGTGTGTGTCTGTGAGTGACAGTGTGTGTTTGTGAGTGAGTGACTGTCTGTGTGTCTGTGAGTGATTGTATGAGTGTGTGTGCATGTGAGTATATGAGTGTGTCTGTCAGTGTATGATGAGTGTGTTTGTCAGTGTATGAGTGTGTGTCTGTCAAATCAGTGAGAGTATGTTTGTCATTGAGTCTGTGTGTGACTATCAGTGTGTCTGTCAATGAGTGTCAATCAGTGTGGGTCTGTCAGTGTCAATGAATGAGTGTGTGTCAGATCAATGAGTCTGTGTCTGTCAGTGACGTCTGTGTGTTTGTCATTGAGTGTGTGACTGTCAGTGTGTACAGAGTGTAGTGGAGCAGAGCGCGGTACAGGAGCTTCTGTTTCCTGTACCTGGCCAGACTGACAGGAGGTGCTCATAGAGAGAGCACTCCCTGTCAGTCCGTCCGGGTACAGAAAACTGAAGCTCCTTTAGGGGATCTGCTCCGTTCGGCAATGCAACAATAGAGGTAGGAGGCACACACCAGGAAGTGTGACCACTAAAGGGGTGTGGGGTGCACCAAGGGACAGGGAGGGAATGGGAGAGAAACACCAAGAGACAGGGAAAAAAGGGGGGAGGGGAAAATGGGGGAGGGGAGAAGAACACTAAGGGACAGGGAGGAAGGGACCACTAATGTTCGGGGAGGGGAGAGGGGCTGGTTAAGAGGCACATAGGTGAAGATTTTATTTTGGGGGGGGTGGAAAAATGCATCTTCGCCTATGTACCTAAAAATCCAAGCACCGGCCCTGACTACAACACTACTTTACCACAAACATTACACCCGACCAGAACCCACACATGCTATGGCTAGCACACAAAGCAGTAATAAGAGGCACACTCATAAGTAGGGCCTCATACCTTAAGAAACAAACTGAAAAAGAAACAACACAATACAAACTATAACTGGTCAAACTATACAACCTTACAAGAGACCCAAACACACCAAAACCCACAGAAGTAGGCATACGGTCCTACTTAACTGATATTCCACTGCCAACTCTATCCGAATCCCAAAAACAACTCCTATCAGCCCCCATCACGGAAAGCAAAATAATAGAATGCATTAACTCCCTACCCACAGGGAAAGCCCCATGCCCTGATGGCTACACAAACGAATATTACACAAAATGTAAACTTCTCCTGGCCCCGCACCTTACCTCGGCATTCAACCATGCTCTCCACAAGGGAAGATTCCTTGCAGAGTTCCTGGCAGCTAGAGTAATAACTCTCCCAAAACTGAGTAAACCACCAACACACTGCCAAAACTTCTGCCCAATATTTTTGCTAAACTCAGACACCAAACTGTATGCAAAAGTGCTGGCCAACCGACTTAAAACTATCCTCCAATGCCTTATCTCAGACGACCAGGTGGGCTTTGTCCACGGGAGACAAGGATCGGACAACACCCAAAAAGTGGTGGACATTATACAGACGATACACATGGATCGGACACAAGGACTCATACTCCCCCTAGACGAAGAAAAAGTCTTTGACAGACTGAATTGGTGATTCCTAGAGGCAGTCCTCACAAAATTTGACTTCCCACATACCTATCGGCTATTAAAGCTCTGTACAGCCTCCCAAATGCAGCGGTATCGACCTCGGGGTTCCAGCCAGACCCATTTGCCATCACCAATGGCACCAGACAGGGATGTCCCCTATCGCTACTCCTCTATGTAATGGCC